TCCAGATGGATGAACCCTTTTGTGGATCCATGGTGCTATGTTACGTTTCTGTAAAATGACACACCATGCTGACTACACACTTCCTTAGAAGGTCACATAATTGTATCATTCCTTTTGCCTTTAAAATATAATCAGAAAAAATATTTTTCTCTCTTAACTGCTTCATATTACATGTGTTAATAGACTACAAGTTCTTTTTAGTCACCTGACTGTATTAACACTTATTACTCAAAGTTCTTAAAAACTTTTTAAAAAATTCTAAAAACTGAGTTAAACAAACAGAGGTAGTCAAGTGAAAAAATAGCTGAAATGTATATAAATTCGCCTACTAAAATTGCAAAGTGAAACTAAGCTACCAACACTACAGAAAGCTATATAAAAGTGTTATTTTCTATTCTGTATTGCTCCAATTTCAATTGTGTCCTGCCAAAGTGGGCCAACTATTTTAACTTGATAGGGTTTTTAATACCATAATGGACTTACAGCTTCAAAAACGCATAGTCCAACAGACTGTCCACTGTTAAATTAGCTACCTCCTATGTTAAAACTTAAGTAGCACACACCTACAGAGAGGAAAATATTAATTTCTGAGCCCATCTACTTCTACAACCGTAGTTGTAGGGAAATTCCAGTAAGTATATATTCCTATCACTTCTTCAGGCCCGGGTTTAAACGGTCTCCTGCTTTTGCTACCCCTCAGGTGCTTCATCATCTTTGTTCATTCTCCTCTGCTGCCCCACATTTTGGAAAACAGTATTTTCATTAAACTTAATACCATTTCTATTTCATTTTTGTGAGAATCCTCTAATAGTTTCCTGAGGAAAGGAAGCTGTTACATGGGGGTAACTTCTTTGATACTTTGATTTGTTTGATACTAGAGAAAAACTTTTAATTTGTTTTTTCCAGTAGAAAGCCTTGTGCATGCTAGGTTAAGTTCTCAACCATGAAACTACATCTCCAGCCCCAATTTAGTGTCTAATGCGCTTTTTGTTGTTCTCTCCAAGAAATTTACAGTAAGACTCACTCTTTTCTTGCAACTACTATGGAAGAAAAACTAAACTGGTATATATGTGAAAATAGTTATTTTGGCATAATATATATATACAGTATTGACAATATAGAGACATAGACATTACATTTTGTTAGTGCTATAAAAAAATATAGCTAGATTTCATGGGGCACATCTGGAATCCCAGAACGATGGGAGGCTGAAGGACGGGTATTGCAAATCCTGGGGAACTTAGTGATATGTTACCATAAAACTAAAAAGAAAAAAAGAAGGAGGTGGGGGCGAGCCCAAGATGACAGCTCAGTATGAAGGATATGGATTCAATCCTTAGTATCACAAAAACAGAACAATACAAAACCTTAAAAAAAATAATAATATACACAGTATTGTTTCAAATTAATATATCTTAAAAGTAAGACTAATAGACTCATAGTTCCTACTTTCCAACTTTTGTAATGTGGGTTAGGGTTAGGGTTAGGTATCTTCTAAGATATTCACACACAAAAAGCAGGCATTACTTTTTATAATGTTGGAAGAAAAACAAATAAAAATACTACTTTTTAAAAAACAAACACAGAGGGGCCAGGGATTTAACTCAGTGGTGTAAGCACCTGCCTGGCAAACACAAGGTCATGAGTTCGACCCTTGGTACAAAAAAAAAAAAACAACACCTTTTCACATAAAAACAAACGCGGGCCAAGGATACAGCTCAGCAGCACAGCATAGCATAGCACCTGCCTGTTAAGTACAAGATCCTGAACTTGATTCCTGGTACCAAAAAGAAAGGAATAAAGAAAAAAATATTTACAGGATAAAAATAAAAACCCACACAGAAAAGCTGGGTGGTGGCATGCCTATGATCCAGTTAATGAGGCTGAGGCAGGAGGATCTGTAAGAGTTCAAAGTTAGACTGGGCTGCGTAGCAAGTTTAAGGCCAGCCTGAACTACACTGAGAGACTGTCTCAAAAATGAAAATAGGTTAGGCACAGTGGGCACCAGAATTCGGGAGGCTGAGGTAGGAGGGTTCAAGGTCAAAGCCAGCCTGAAGTACACAATGAACCCTTGTCTCAAAAAGCAAACAAAAAAAATATAATGTCAGAACTGGGGATGTTAAACACTTGCCTAGGATATGTAAAGCCATGGCTTTGATCCCTACCATTACAAAAAATAAAAAGGCAGGTTCATAAATCTGATTGCACTGATTTACCACATTAATGATTCACAATCACACTCAAAGAATCCTAATTGGCAAACTCATGTGGCTATTATTTGGCTTTGAATATATTCCATACTGATTTTTTCCATGTCTTCAAATCATTTACTTTCTTTCTTTTTTTTTTTTTCTTAGTCTTTTTGAGACAGTGTCTCACTATGCAGTGTAGGTTGGCCTTCAACTCACTTTGTAGCCCAGGCTAGCCTCAAACTCACAGCAATCCTCTTGTCTCAACCTCCTGAGTGCTAGGATTATAGGTGTGTGCCACCACGCCCAGCTAAAATCAATTATTTACTCTAACACATGTCTAAAAGTTTTATGCCTCTTAAAACGTATTGTAAGACATTCCAACTTCTGACCCTACATGATTTACAGCTTACTAAAAGAGAAAATATGCTCCAAAGGTCAACAAATTAGTAGATGATTACCTCTACCTAGATGGTTTATTGGTATGCAAATAAAAAACAACATTGCAGACTGGCATGGTGGCCTGTATTTAGTGATGAGGAAGCTGAGACAGGATAATTTTGAGTTCAAGGCCACCCTGGGTCACCCAGTGTTCAAAGCTGGTCAAGATTACATACGCAGGTTAGGACCCTATCTTAAAAAAGAAAACAAAACAAAAAAGATAAAACCATTAGAGGTGGGGGGATATTGATCTGATTAAATAATTATTTTAGAAATATCAGAATAAGAATAAAAACAAAATTAAGACTAATAAATAATCTGGAGTTATCTATAAATAAATTAGAGAAAGGAAAAGACAGATTATTTTCAGAACCAGAAATTGGGTTGTGTCATCTGAACATCTAAGGAAAACAATTTAACAAGGAAAACCAAGGAGAATACAAAATTAAGTTTAGAATCCAATGAACTTTTAGTACTATAGCACTGCTGGCTCACTGCAGAATAATGTGATTTTGACCAGACTGCCTTAGAGGGAGACTATCATATGGGTATATTCTAACAATATCTAACAAGAGATAAGAGCAAAAGATCAACCTGGGTTAGGATACTGGAAGTCCTATAGTTAAAAAGGGTTACCTAAACTACACTATCATTCAACAATGTAAGTACTCATTTGGTACAAAACACTGGGAAGGTCAGTATCACGAAAAAGGTTAAGGCACAGTCTTTTTCCTTAAGAAACAAAATTTAGCTGGAAATCAAAGTGATCAAACCAAGCGAATACAATTCAATACTACTTGGTAAACACTGTAGCAGAACTGTAGAAAATGCCAAAAGAGCTATCTGTAGAGAGGAAGAGGATCTTAAGAGAACTTATATAAAGGCAAAGAAGGACTAAAGATTTAGCTGTGGCATAAGGGCTTGCAAGCACAAGGTCATGAGTTCAATCCCCTGTACCACAAAAAAAAAAAAAAAAAAAAGGAAAAGAAAGTGTAAGACAGATCTGAAAAATATATATTATACAAAAGGAAAAAATTAGCACAAGCACATTAACACTGGTGAAATTAAACATTACTTTATCCAAATATAAGATTTAAATGACTATAATCAAGCTCAATTATAGAAATTGTGTCATTTAAAGTCTGTTTTAAAATATTTAGTATAGGCCAGGGTGTAGCTCAGTGGTAGAGCTGCCTAGCATGTGCGAGAACCTCAATTCCATCTCCAGCACTATAAAAAAGAAGAAAATGCATAGTGAAAATAACCTAGTGAAAACAACTTGGAGTAATGTTTGAGAGTCAAAGGAAAAAAGGTGGTAAAGCCAGAAGCTGGAAATGGTGGTGCATGCTTATAATCCCAGCATTCTGGTGGGAGTCAAGCCCTGTCCGGACAATTTCGTGACTTAACAAGACTTTCTCCAAAAAAATGGGGTGGGGATAGGGATGCAATTCAGTACAAAGGCCCTGGGTTCAATCTCCAGTATCCAAAAAAAAGCAAAACACAATTTCATCTCACTACATAAGTAAGCTGTTTAAAGCAGCACAACAAACTGTTTTCTTCCCCCAGTTTCACTGTTATTTCAGAGATCAAAAAGCTGACCTTAATGAACATAAATTTATCATTGATTCAGATACTAACAATCAAGTCACGTGCTCCTATAAAATCAAATTATAATCATATTATCTAAAATATATTTAAATATAATTCATCATCACTTCCTCATTTAATGTCACAAACCAAATTTGTACTCCCCCTCTTATCTAATATTTTTGGAGTACTAGTATATACCAGGTACTACGCATTCCTGATGAGCTGTTTCTAAGGCACCAAACTAAAGCCCAAGAAGTTAGGTATTAATACTGTCCCCACTCTGAAAAGAAGGAATTGAGCTGATATGACTGTGTCTAGATGTCCCCACAAAGCACCATATGGTTATAGATGTGACCTTTTCAGAGGTGGCAGGATCTAGAATGTGTGACGCTGGGACTGATTCATGGTGTAATGTCGGATCGAGGGTGCTGGGATAAAGGATGTGATAGTCACTCTTCCACCCCTACCCCCAGAAGACTAGATAAGATGTAAGGGACAGAAAGAGCTGCAGTCATCCTTTGCTGCTTTGCTACCTTCTGCCCTCCAGGAACAGTTTCTCCTCTGTGATGTCCCTTTGCCACACCAACCCTCCTTGAGTAGTCAACCATGGACTGAACTCTGTAACTGTGAGCTAAATAAACCTTTCCTCCTTTAACTTTGGGTATCTAGTATTTTGTCTGAGCAAAGAAAAAAGGAACTAAGATTCAGCTTTGATAAATTAACTTGACTAGAATCAAACCCAAGTCTAGAAGGCATTTCAGCAAAGTCAGAAGTACTTACTCTTGCCTGTCAATACTGTAAGTGAATGCAAGCACCTCAAATGCACTGTGCTGCCTCTCAGTAGGAGCCTGTGGAAAAGCAAGAGAAAGCAATTAGCAAGTTCATCTATAGATACATATCTTTGTCAAAACCATAACAAAGCAGGGCATGATGGCACACTTGGGAGGCTGAAACAGGAGAATCACAGCCAAGTTTGAGGCCAGCCTGGGCTGCACAACAAGACTTATATAGCAAGACCTAAAAATACCATAACAAAGTTACATTCCCTCCAAAATCAATACATTTATGGTCAAGCTAAAACATAAAGAATTGTTCTGAATATTGAAACCATGGCATATTGGAAGTATGACAGATCATCCTCTAACACTAAATTCATAATTAAAACTCAAGTTTAAACAAGTAAATGATAAAAATACAAAATACAAACTAGAACCAAACACTTAGCATATGTCATTCTGAGCTGCTTTTAAACCTCAATACTTCTGACACCAAATGTGTGAGTGTCTTCCTTCTACCAACTCATCTCCAATTCTGCAGATGGCAGCTGGGTATCAACTCAGTTTTGACACTGCCTCCCTAGCCTTAAAACCCACAAGACTGCCCCACTTCAAAGGCCAGCCCCACGTTCTTGGCCTCCCATACTTCTGACCATGCAGTTCCCCCTTCTTCATGTTGAATAATTTTCTAGAGGGCTCAAGAATTCAGGAAGGCATTTTATTTACAATTAATAGTTTATTTTCACAAGATCTTGATAAATACATCAGCCCAGAAGATCTATAAATACCATCCTGTAGGGTCTGTTACAGAATCTTCCTGTCACCAGCATGACTGATTAAATCACTGGCCACTGATAACTATCTCTACTTTTTTCCAGACCTGAGGGATGGGACTTTCCAACCCCTAATCATGCTGATCTTTCTGATGTCTGACCTTCTACCCAAAACTTTCTAGGATTCAGGCAAGAAGTGCCTCAGTTCAACAAAAGACACTCATCACTACCAAGGAAATTCCAAATTCAGAAGCTCTGTGTCAGGAACCAGAGACAAAGACCAAATATTTCTTTCTTATTGCAGAACATTAAGCATGCAGATACTCAAGGCTAAATTAAACACTGAAAAACTGATAAAAAGACATAGCTCCTTCTACCCGTAAGGAGCTTATTTACAATTTATCCACTGAAAATTCCTTTTGAGCATATTTTAAACACTAAGTAAAGCAAAAGATATCTTTCTTTAAAATGATTCTAATCTTATCAAAAACACAGTGTTAAAAGAAATAAATCTTAGAGGAAAGCCTAATATAAACAAGGTAGAAAAACCAGGGCTTCAGGATCAAACTAAATTCTAATCATTGCCATCACTTATAAGACGACTTTGGATAAAATACTCTCGCTAAATCTCAATTTCCTCATTTGTAAAATGAAAACAAAATGGTGGTAAAAAATCTGAGATTTAGCTGTTGATATTTAAGAAATGTATACAAGCTGGGTGTGGCGGTGCATGCTTGTAATCCTAGCATTTGGGAGGCAGGGGATCGAGGAGTGTTACAAAAGCAAAACCAGCCTGGGCTACAAAGTGAGCTCAAGGCTCAAGTGAGCTGAACTGCATGGCAAGACCTGGGCTCAAAAAAATGGGGAAAAAATAAAGAAATAAAGAAACAAAGAAAAGGGAAGGAAAGGGATGGGAAGAAATATATACAAAGGATATAATATCACATAATACATCAAGGGATGGAACAAGGGAGAAATTCTAGGTAATTTAGGGAAAAACAAAAAGTATTATGATTAAGTCAAATGAACTACTAATTTTACTGTAAAATTTAATATGAAAGGATGTTATATAACATAAAAAGCATAATTTCTTTTTAAGATACCTACAAAAAAACTACCAAATTTTCTCTCATAAACTGCTAAGTATTTATTGATTTTGAAAAACATCTCCAGGTCATTTATATAATCCATGAATCTCTTGGATCAGGATCATAACCTAATTTTCATGAATTTCTTTTAAAAAATATACACAACATCGTGTTTATTTCAGGGTGCAAACGACCATCAAATTCACAAAACAATCTATTCAACAGTAGAATCTCTGATTTAAAAGTTAAATTTATATGCCTGAGATAAAGCACAGCTTTGCAGTTTCCAATGTGATGTAATTTGATTTCTAATGTTAAGACAGAAAACCCATTGTTTAATGTATAACTTATTTTTTTTTACATTTTTTTGGTCAGGAAATATTCTGAACATTTCAGAATATAAATAAGTATAAAACAAGTGTCACAACCTTCAATAAATTATACTTTAATTTTGAAGAAAGGGTAAACACTTCAGCAGCATATATACTAAAACAATTATAAAGAACATACAAAATAGTTAATGTATACTTCACTAGGGCAACAAATTAAAAACTAAAATGTAATAAAATCATTTCTCAATAGCAGGTGTATGGAAGGTTCCTAGAGGCAACAAAAGTGGACAAGTTGAATTTTATTTTAAGTACCAGGGATCGAACTCATGACCTTGTGCTTGCCAGGCAGGCGCTTGTGCCACTGAGCTAAACCCCTGGTCCTTGAGTTTTAAATGAAATGATGAATATAGATTCTTGGAGAAGGGCTACTCCAGACTAGATTAGGGTTCTGTTTGTTTCTGGAGATAAAGCAGGTAGCCCAGACTGGCCCTGAACTTGCTGTAAGCCTGCCTCAGCCTTAGAGTGCTGGATTATAGAAATGGGGCACCATGACTAACTAGATCAATGGTACTGAAGTTGCCATATATGCCTGATTTAAGGATCATTTAAATGGATTTAGTGGATCATAACCTAATTTCTAAAAAGTAGAACATTACCATATACTGTATATAACTCAAGATGCTGCTTTGAGAACCTTTAAAGCAAAAATACATATGTACAGATATATACATACATATGTGTGTGTATAGATAATTCCTACCAAAATCTACAAAACTTAGCTTTATAGAGATTGACAAGTTTAAAATTTGTATGGAATGAAAGCACCAAAGCAATTTTGAAAAAAAATAAAGTCAGAGAACTCACACCACCTGATTTTAAGACTTCCATAGCCCCAGTAGTCAACACTACAGCATTGGCAAAAAAAACCCACAAGCACGAAGTGGAGTGCAAAGGTTCACCCACAGATGCGCACATACATAGCCAATGTTTTTGTCAGAGACAAGAGAATTCAGCGGAAGAAAGTCCTCCACAAATGGCTACGGAACAAGTAGATGGATTAAAAACTCTGTGACTTCCACTTTATACAAAAACTGACTCATAATGATTTTGATTATAATCCTAAATCTAAAATACAAAACTATGAAACTTACAGCAGAAAATATGGAGAAACTCTTTAGTTAGGCAAATAGTTCTTAGATATAATAATAAAAAAATCCATTAAAATTTTTTTTGACAAACTGAACATCAAAATTTAATCTTCTGTGCTACAAATGTTCCTCTATTGGTTTTTTTTTTTTTTTTCTGGCTTAACACAGTGGTACACAAATCAAACCCAAAGGTCAAATCAAGTACACCCTGTTTTTTTAAGTACAGCAATGCCTGACATAAAGATGACAGACCATCTAAGAAACAGTGATCCCAGAAGATTATAATGGAGCTGAAAAATTCCTACGACCTAGTGATGTCATAGCTTAATACATTACTCACATGTCTGTGGTGAAGTTGATATACACACAATCTACTGCATATAAAAGTATAGTACATACAATTATATAAAATACTTAATACTTGAAAATGGCAACAATTATGTTAATGGTTTGTGTTTATTATTCTATTCTTTATCATCAGCACATACTACTTTCATGAAAAAAAGCTTACTGTGAAATAATATGCCATCTTAATCTGGCAGTAGCCTCATACTTTTTTTTTTTTTTAGTTAAGACAATTTGGTAGCCCAGGCTGAGAGAAAAAATTGTCCAGGATTGCCTTGAACTTGTGATCTTCCTGCCTCAGCCTCCAGAGAAGGTGGAATTAAAGGCATGTGCTACTGTGCCTGACCTTTTCACATTTCTTCACTGCATCAGAAGGCCATTCTAAGTGACTGACATAGGCCATCTAGGTTTATATAAGTACACTCCACAATGTTTTCACAATGACAAAATTACCTAATGACCCACCACACTTTTCGGAATGTATCCCTGTCAATAAATGATACAAAATTCTGACGAGAACACAGTCAGTTTGTTTGGCTACCTTTCCACTCTGATAACAAAGTTGAATACCTGAAACACAGATGATTTGGCCCATAGACCTTAATATTTCATAGAAAGTAGTCCACCCCTGCTCAGAAGGCTCCAAAGGCCCAGAACCTAAGAGATCTTAAGGCTTCAATGTTTAGTGTCTTTGAGACCATAATTAACTGAAGAAACTGTAAAATTACGAGACAAAAAGCTAAAATGCTTGAATTCTTATCATGCTCAATGATTTGACAAACCCAAATATAACACCTTGATCATCAACTTACTTTCATAAACTGCTGTAGTTTGAGTCAATAGAAGAAAAACTTCATGGTTCAAAATATATTTAATGAACATACATACCTTCACCGTGTTTCATATTTTCACGCAGGAATATACTCAGTTCAAAACAAAACAAACTGGCATGGAGGGTGGTGCATGCCTGTAATCTCAGGACTAGGAAGGCTGAGGCAAGGAGATCACCCTGAGTTCAAGGTCAGTCTGAGCTATTATATAGCAACTCCTATCTCAAAGAACCAGAAAAAGAAAAAAAGAAAAACAAAACAGAACCTAGACTTTCATTATAGGAACTTCTATATTTTATTTCATACTTTTAACAGTCAGTGAAATCAATCTACTCTGACAAAACCAAATATATTACTAACTCAAAGTCTACAAATGACAGGGGATTTAGCTCAGGGGCATAATCACCTGCCTGGCAAGCACTAAGTTGTGAGTTCGATTCCCAGTACCAAAAATAATAAAACATAAAGAGTCTACAACTGATTTTCTGATGTAAGGAGCCTCCCCGCTTTGTGAGTTAAATAGAAAGTTTATTCAGATTTTGCTCTGAGGTTTATC